CAGGTTTTAAAATTTAAAAAGGGATTTATCTGATTATTAGCAATTCAAACACTCAAAGTGAACAATTTTTTTTTAGGAAATAGCTATTGCAAATGGAATAGATTTATACTCTAAATAACATTTTAACTATTTACACATGAATAGTTTGCATTAAAAAATAAAATTCTGTATGCAAACGCATTTTTCAAAGCACAACAACCACCATATTATTGATTTGGATAACACTCAAATTCCTTTTATTTACAGGCAATCCAGTAAACTACTTGTCCTATATAAATTTTGGTATGAATGCCTTATATAGTTTAAAAGTAAATTTTAAGCTATAAGTATTTTTAATGATTTTTATATATTCAAACTGCTTTCTAGGTACTTGGACTACTTACACTGTTTTATAGCTACTAATATGCCAATATCAAACACATTTTTCCCTGGTAACTTAATCAATAATAAAATCTCGTCCCTTCTGAGTTTCTATTCACAAGCCACAGCTGTGAGTTGGGAAAGAGCAAGTGCACCACTAAAAAGGCGTCATATGAGAGGGATCTCGTCTAAGCAGAAGAGATTGCTCCTGTCGGACGGAGTTCAGACCCCTCTAGATAGCATCATAGCAGGTACAAATCAACCTGAGAAATGACAACAGTACACGCTCACATCACAGACAAAGAGCTACACTATGTCAGTTACGGCAGACACTGAAATAATTACTCTTCTTTGATCAAATGCAGAGGGCAAAGACCACCTGTTAGTGTTAGGTCTGGATCAAGAAACAATAGATAGACTGACTTTTATGACAGTGCTTCTACACAATTTTAATATCAGTTAGATACGTAGTCAGGTGGTATGATCTACACCATGGTATCGCACAATGATGAAACTGTCTTCTCAGAATCTATCTCAGTGTTGTTAAGGGATACATGACTGGGTTTCTATTTGGTTTTATAAAGGCATGTAATAATAGAATGCCTACAGCCTTCATTACTGTTTATGCTCAGCTTTTAGGTAGGAGAAATTGTATCAGTTTTGCACATAAACTGCTCTCATTACCACTTCATCCTAATAGTATTTCAAACACTGCCCTCTTGTGATATAGTTAAAGAAATACCAACCTTTTTGAATTTCTTGAAAACCTTCAGTTGACCATCATCAATATTTACAACCTACTATCCAGCCCCCACACACACACTTGCAGATGCCTTTCTGTCTAGCCACCCCTGTCCCTGCCCTGGTTTTCATGCTCTCCAGTGGGAGTGGTTACCCACAAGGGAGGTGCCCACTATCTTCCTACTAGGCCAAGCCAACTTCCGGATTGTGCACTCTCCAGGTGGTTCTGGCACTTAACTTAACAGAATTGGCCTCCTGTGCCAGCCTCTGCCATCTGATAATGTGGCAAAGCCCAACTAACCCTCACCCACTCTAATTTTTGCTTGCACCAGTCGGAACAGTCAGCCAAACCTGGCCCTTCCCCAAGTCTAGCTCACATGAGGCCCACAGGTGTTGTAGCCCTGCCTAGTCTGGTCTGCCCCCATCCCAACTCATGCTCTCCAGTAGGAGTGGTTGTCCAGCAGAGGAGCCCACATTCCCCTGTCAGCTTTACCTCCTCTCCTCCCCCTCGACCCCCCAGGTTCTCACGTGTGCTGTTTGGGCACTGCAACCATATCTGGTATGGCTCACCTCACGTTGGCATTCCTCAATGTGCACTAGTATGTGTTGTGACTGAAACTGGCCTGACCCACACTCTATGCTGGTGCTCAGATTCGCCAGCGGTTGATGTGAATGGGTTCAGCCTGGTCTGCCCCCCACCTATGCCACATGCATGATGTAAAGATTTATTTCATCTTTATTGCAAAGTCAGATATACAGAGAGGAGGAGAAACAGAGAGGAAGATCTTCCATCTGATAATTCACACCCCAGAGACTGCACCAGCTGAAGCTAAGCCGATCCAAAGCTTGGAGCCAGGAACTTCCTCCAGGTCTCGCAAGTGGGTGCAGGATCCCAAGACTTTGGGCCATCCGCCACTACTTTCCCAGGCCATAAGCAAGGAGCTGGATGAGAAGCAGGGCTGCCAGAATTAGAATCAGCACCTATATGGGATCCCGGCGTGTTCAAGGTGAGTACTTTAGCTGTTAGACAACCACACCTGGCCCCAGATAAAAATAAATATTAAAAAAAAAAAAACCTACTACTGCCTGCCTGCCTTCCTTCTTTACTTTTCTCCCTCCCTCCTTTCTCTCTCTTTTCCCTTCAAGGTCACCAGCACTGGATAGTCTTTGGCCAGATCTTCAAATATCCACAAGGTAACATGGGCAGTGATTCTAGGCTGTTGTGCCGCCTCTGTGTGTATGCTTTACCCTGATCCTCTTCTGGCCACTCTGGAGGAGGTCAGCACCACATTGGGCCACCAGGGCAGAAAATGAAAGGCCACGTGGATGGGGCCAGCAGAAAAGCAAAGAGCAAACTACAAAGGAGACTCAGCATCTCAGACAACGTCCACAGAAGCCTGCTGACAGTGGCTCTCCAAGGTTCTGTCACCTGCCTACTTCTGCATTTCCCCTGGTGACCATGTCCACACTCAGGACCTCAAAGGATGTGTATGAGGCTGAAGGTGACATCAAAAGAGGATGTGGAGGCCCGGCACAATGGCTCAGTGGTTAAATCCTTGCCTTGAAAGCACTGGGATCCCATATGGCTAAATCCTTGCGGTGCATGCCCTGGGATCCCATTTGACTGCCAGTTTGTGTCCTGGCTGCTCCACATCCCATCCAGCTCCCTGCCTGTGGCCTGCACAAGCCTTGGAGGATTGCCCAACATCTTGGGATCTGCACCCACATTGAGACTTGGAAGAAGCTTCTGGCTCCTGGCTTCAGATCGACTCAACTCTGGCCATTGTGGCCACTTGGACATTGAACCAGTGGAATGAAAAATCTTTCTCTCTGTCCTACTCTCTATAAATCTGCCTTTCCAATAAAATAAATAAATTTTTGGAAGTAGAAGGACAAAAATCACAAACTACCACTACTACCCAGTACTTCATACCCATCGTGATGTAGCATAACACATAACCATGTGTTTATGGTGATGCTGATATTAACAAATCTATATCTGTCAGTCCTATAAAAACATAGCTCATACATATGTATGCAATAAGACATGCTTATGAACATGAACCACTTTGTTACTCCTCTAACAATAAAATGAGTGGGCCCAGCACAATGGCTCAGAGATTAAATCTTTGTCTTGTAAGCACTGGCATCCCACATGGGTGCTGATTTGTGTTCCAGCCGTTCCACTTCCCATCCAGCTCCATGCTTATGGCCTGGGAAATCAGCAGAGGAAGGCCCAAAACCTTGGGATCCTGTGCCCATCTGGGAGACCCAGAAGAAGCTCCTGGCTCCTGGTTTCAGATCAGCTCAGTTTTGGCTGTTGCAGCCATTTGGGAAGTGAACCAGCGGATGGAAGATCTTTGTCTCTGTCTCTCTTTCTCGTCATAAACCTGATCTGTCTTTCCAATAAGAATAAATAAATCCTTATAAAATAAAAATATTAGTAACACTACAACATGCTGATAAAAATACTTTGGAAATTCTTAACTTGCTTAACACTCCTAAACTTAAGGCCATTTTAAATAATCAGTCATTCTATAGAATCAATGTAAGCTTGTAATCGTACAATCTGGCTGCACTGATGGCTTTTGGGCAGCAGGTTAGGGGTCTAGCAGGTCCCAGGCAGTCACACCCATGGCAGGAAATGTGGGGTGATCCAACCAACAGCCTTTGGTGTCACCAAGAACCCCAGGCTTTCGGGACTGATTGGTCCCAGACAAGGCAGGATCCCCAATCTCAGGGAGCACAGAGTGGGCTGTGTGTTTTAGCGCTGAAACACACAGTGCATGCTGTGCTGCCTGCGCTGACTCCAGTGCAGAGGAGGGGAGCATGTCCAGGTGCACTCGAATGAGTCAGCCTGCTCTTACAAACCAGCTGAGGTCCTCAGATGCCACCTCAAAGACAAAAAAGGCCAGAAACTTCTCAGAGTTAGTGACAGTAATCTATGGACACAGCCAGCAGAATCAGCTAAGTTTTCTATGGCTCCTGAGATGTAGCCATTAGGTGAGATGCAGAGAGCTTTCTGAACCCAGGACATGAAGATCTTCACACCTAATCAGTAAGAAGCAGCGACAGAAGATGAGACAAATGTATATCCTCCAGCAGCCCTTAAGAAAAGGGGTTGGAAATCTCTTAGTGGGAGAGTGAAACAGGACACATAAGTAGCAAGCTTAGCATCACCAACTGGAAGCCAAAGCCCCCTACCTTATGCAATGTGGTCTATCTACTTGTCAATCAGATGGCCCCTTCCTCAGGAGGCACTCCCCTCACCTGGGACTTGGGGTGGTATTAGGTACTACCCCTCTCCAAGTCTAGGCCAGATCTCCAAGTCTAGTGGCTCACAAATCTGGCACATATCATCCACATTTTGTTGCAATTACCAACAATCAACATTTCTTTTAACAAGCAAGTAGGATGAGAGCAAGCCATGTGCTCAGATTTTATAGATGGAATTACTAATCTAGAGCTACCAAACTGTGTCAGTGATCTCATTTTGAAATGAGGTAACAAAAGCAGTGCCCAGTGGCGTCAACATTTACGTGCAAATATGTGGTTCTCCAAGAGGGTTGCTGCAGCCCCACTACCAAGGGTACCTCACCCATGACCCCGACACTGGCACATGAGCAATGCTGACCTATTTACCATGCTTCAACAGTTTTTTGTTATATATTAGCAGTTAACATCTGTTTCACAGAGCTAAGAAATAACCAATTAAGAATTTGGGGTACTCTTTCTTTACATACTAACTGAAAAAATCTCATTAACATGGAACACATACACACACACAAGAGAAACGTGGAACACAGCAACTATCACATCTAGAATTCCAGAGAGTTAACCGAAAGTCAATGCGCTCATCTTTTCTGTCATATGTTGTTAATTAGAAACACATAATATACCTTTCTATTTGTGGAGGCTGTTTCTTGGACTGAACTGCTTGGAGAAATTCAGTAAAATACTCTGGCTTTACAATGGGGCATCCACAAATGAGTGCACAAATCGTCTAAAAGAAAGAAAATATATGTGGATATATATATATATAGTCATTATGATAGCTTCTTCTAAAGAAAACATTCATGTTATAAACTACAAACATGCCTTTCTAATAATTGTTTTCTTTCCTTTTCTTAATTTGATAAACGAAGTCACAATCTGTAAAATAGAATTTCATATTTGCTCAGTTTTATACCACAAACCAGAACTACTCAATTATCAGAAGCCAATGACACAGTAGTCCTTTGGGATAGGCAGAATAACACAAAGACTTTAAAAATGCATTCCAACTTGAAAAACATTACAAGTACACGTTCAGGCTGAAGAAATCTAACCCATCCTGCAGAGCCAATACACATTAAGAGATAAATGGAAATTTCTGTGGAGCCTTACTGCTTTCAGAAGGAGTAAGAGTATAGAATAAAGCCTCTTCAACACAGTAAATCAAGGAGCAACTGGTTAGGCTCAGTGGAAGCTGATGCACACATAAAGAGAGAACGAAACTGTGAACTAACGTGAATCAAGCTATCAGCCTCAAGTAACACACATCCACAAACTCATAAAGGACTAGAAAATACTACTGTGGGCAATTAAAATAAGAAAGAGCTGGCATATTCTAGGAAATAATCCAACTATACAGTTTATACATATGTTTTCAATAATGCAGGTGTTAGGAGCGACCAGATTGAGGGTATCTCTAAAGACTGGAATCTGACAGATCCCAACTTCCTATGTGAATGAGATCATCCAAATGCAACATAGAGTATTTAAGTTCAATCAACACAAGACTGGAGTTCGGTCCTTGGGCTTGGGGGCAACTGACGCTCCCTGCAGTGTGGCGACTGTGGGGGGTGCCCCTGCCGGGTCGGACCCAATGCGGGGGACTCACGCCAAAGACACTGCCACAAGGCAGTGAACGAGTCCTCGGCCTCCCCCAGGACCCAAGAGAGCTCTTCCCTCAGGGTAAGTCCGCCATGAGGGAACTTGGGAACTGGGTGGAAATTCCTAGCTCCGCCCAGCTGCTAAGACCATGCGGCTGGGGGAGTTTGGGAGGAGTTCGGTCCTTGGGCTTGGGGGCAACTGACGCTCCCTGCAGTGTGGCGACTGTGGGGGGTGCCCCTGCCGGGTCGGACCCAATGCGGGGGACTCACGCCAAAGACACTGCCACAAGGCAGTGAACGAGTCCTCGGCCTCCCCCAGGGCGGCCAGTGCACCAAGTGGTGCCAGGCTTTGCCTGCTGGCCGCCCGGAAGGGCAAACTCTGGGGTTTTCAAGATATGTAATTGCTGCCTGGGTCACTCATGACTAAGACTAGGTTGAGTGTAGGTGCAAAGTGAATTTTCGGGTATTCTCAGTGACAGTGTCATGAAAGATACAAGCAGGCAAGGGGACCAAGACCTAGGGTTTGGGGGAAGTGTCCAGAAGATAATTTTAGTAAGACAGATGCAACAGCTCAATTATGAATACAGAGATGGGATATTAGTATTGAACATCACTGATCACCATATACTAGCCCACACCGAAGCTATGGATGGGGGCCTCTTTGGCAGTGTTGGGTACCATTGCCCGACTGAGTGTTGGAGTTGTGGAGTGGTCACATTTGGCAAATCAAGACACTCTCCAGCACACAAGAGAACTTGGGCTGGGGGTAGGCTCTGTGGGGTTGTGTGGGTCCAACCCTTTGGAATACAAATCCCCCGGGTTAGTTCCCAAGCTGGGGTTGCAATGGTCTAAGCTAGGTGTGACCACGACATCTGCCATCACTCATGGGTAAAGGAATCCACAACAGTCAGGGTAGGTCAAGGCAGCAGCACCCAAATGTGCATCTTTAAACAGGATGTGGGGTGGGCCGGGCTGCCACTGGAAGGGGACAGAAGGGGCAAGGCTGAACAAACCTTAACTCACAAGTAACAACAGAAATCAGGTTGGAGCACAGCTCATGCCAGGTAGGTCCTTGCACATACTGATCTGTGTGAGGCAGAGGCACTAAGCCACAGCATCCAAGGGGCCACGACAAGTGAGGGGCTCTGCCAAACAGAGACAGAACAACCACCGGCCTACACCTGCTCTATGGCAGGGCAGAGGCCCGGTTGGGGAAATAACAGGACACCCTAGCTGGGTTGAGTTTCCCACCAAGGAGCGCATGGGCTGGAACTGAGGCTACATTCTGATCAGGATACGATCGTAATCTCACTTGGCACAATTGTGGACTGGGATGGGAAGCACCAAGCCAGGCCAAATTCCAACACCATCTGGTGCTCTGGAGGACCGGGGAGGGTTGTGTGACAGACTAGGTTAGGTCTCAGCCCTTACTGAACCATGTGTGAGCTTGGTAGGGGTATGGAAGAGCCATGGCTGGGTTGAAATATCCAACTGAATAAAACTGCAACACGCGCGATTCTGGGCTAAGCACGTAACTGCTCCGAGTCGCAATTTCTCTTCAAAATATAAAAGCTGAACTAAATACTCCTCAGGTTTCCCTCTGGTCCTAACATTCAATAATCTAAACAAAACAAAAGCAAAAAGCAAAACAAAACAAAACAAAACCCTATAAGCCTAACTATGCATTGAGAACGCTGAGCAAAAACTAATGATCAGGGTTTATTTTGATGTTTTTTTTACAAAAAGTGATCAGAAACACCAAAGAAGAAACGCTGCACACTCCATGGTGGTGTCTCTAATGGTGGTCATTAGCATGTCAGGTACTAGAAGTGTCCAGCTCTGAGGACTTGGCAAAATCTCCAAGACAATCAAAGCATCTTTGACCTTATTTCAGGCCTTCTAAACCCATGTATCATTACCTACTCCATTTGAGTAACTTAATATCTTAAGGGGGATTATGCTGAGCTAACATTTAAATATCAGGTCCTCATGCATATGAATTTTGGTTTTACAAATGTTTTATGAATCTATTACCTGTGAGTTTATCAACATGAGTATTTTTTAAGTTAGTCTTGCTGCAGCAGCAAAAAAATCAATGTCCTAAATTTTCCAAGAGGGAACTATCTTTGTTCAGGGTAACTTCACCATGATACAAATTTAACTTCAGGTTCAATCTGGGCAGTGAGCCTTTCTCTTTGACAGCTATTGCATACACATATATGTACACACATAAGAGCCATTTATGTATAAATTAGAATATAACACTAATATTTAATTAATTATAACAAAAGGTTTTTGCATCTTCAAACACAGGAATCAAAGTATTTGTTGCTTTTCAGCCTAAAACAATCCCACATATCTTTTGCACAGTCAGCCTGTTTAACGAATCACATCTTAAATGCCATTCTTCAATTACCTTTGGATATATCAAATCTGATGAAAATGCAAAACCTGAAAATATACCAAAATACATCACTGCTTTAATGACTAGTCAGCATCTTTGGAAGGTACATATCTATACATCTCAGGGCTTTAAAGATACAGCAAAGATTTCTTTGTGTGATTATAACTTAACTGAGGGAGCATGAGACCATGAGACAATGTCAGAGACTGGAGGAAGACAATCTGACAGAAGAGACACATGGTGCTAACTCTGTGCTGTGGTGAGTTCACTCAAGGTCCCAGAACTTGTTTTAATATGGGAACACAGTTCAACTTACTTTAATGGTGACTTTCACTGACATCATGACAAGGTGAGTACATTCTTTTGTCCAGCTGTTCACAGTGAGTCCTCCAAGTTGCAACACAGCTTGATTTAGAGCAGTTTTCCCAGACACATCTAAACAAGAAGAACAGGCAACCAAAGGCTCATACTCTACCCTGTGAATGACAATAAAGTTACGTTATCACAGTTACAAAGACTTTACAACTTTACAATACTTTACAACTTTAAGCTTACAACATATTATTCGTTTAATTTTGACACATTATAAATTTGTAACTTAGGAAATTCTTACCTCCTAAATCTTGTGTTCCCAAAGAAGAAAAAGACATGGCCAACATCAACATTACATTTTAACTTATGAAGCATCAAACAAACGAGGCTCCTATCACAACTCACAGGGACTAACACAAACTTTTACTCACCTGTCACCCCCCACCTGTGATCCACAAAATATACCAACCACACAGAGTTCACTACTGTGCTAAATGGGAAGTCAATTATACTGTCACCTTATAATCCTTATCTTTGCTTTAAAATTCAATTGTTGTGAGATAAAATTGTCCACTTTAATCTAATTTAAAAAGTGTGGGGCCAGTGCCATTGGTTTGGTACACTAAGCTTCCACCAGGATTCTATATGGGCAACAGTTCATACCCCAGCTTCCCAAACGTGGATCCAGCTCCCTGCCTGTGGCCTGAGAAGGCAGTCAAGGACAGCCCAAAGTTGTGGGACTCCTCAGCTATGGGGGAGACTCAGAAGAGGCTCCTGGTTCCTGGCTTCAGATTGGCCCACCTCTGGCTGTTGTGGCAACTTGGGAGTGAAGGCAGGATCTCCTAGTCTCTCCTTCTCTCTGTTCATCTGCCTTTCATGTAAAAGTAAATCATTAACAACAAAAATTAAATAAACAAATCCATACCTGAATTTACTTTCAAACACTCCAAAGGTGACTCTATCCCCTGTCTTCAAAGTTTGGGGAAGGTGATTTTGCATTTTTGCCTCATTAACAAAGGTACCATATTTAGAAGTATCTTTGATTGTCAATACAGGGATTTCATCAGTTTGACTCTGAAAATTAGAGAAGTAATTACAAGTCTTTTACAGCTCAAGCACATACAATCCAGGGGGAAATTATTCACAGGAGACATTTGATAACTTTTGAAAAGGGTAAAATAATAAATAGCTGCATATCCTGCCACCAGAGGGAATGACACCTACTGTTCTGGCTGCCTTCAAAGGACTAATTAGCAATTAACATAAATATCTCCCTTTAAGAAAATCTCTGAATTTCAGAATTATAACTCTTAGAATACAAATTTTTCTTTATTTCTGTAAATCAGTTGGGACTTTCCCAACCCTTCCATTTCACACACTTGAGAATTTTATGATTGGCAGCAGTTTGCTTCATGCATAACATGACAGCTTCAGTCCTAAGTTTTCGTTTTGTTTTGTTTACATTATCAAAAGCACATGGTAAACACTGGGCGAATGAAAACAAGGCATAAAGCCTAGAGGTTCTGACTTTTGGTAATAATTTTATTTTTTCTATTGCAACTTCTATAATAATGCTTTTCTACAACACAAATAGACACAAAACCTAAATGCCAGTAAACTAATCCATCACTTGTGCATTTGTCACATTTGTTCAAACTAACTGCTTACTTTCTTGTTCCTACCACGATGATTTTAAACGTATTTATTCATATATTT